CCGGCCCGCCCCTCCTGCAGCTCCCCCGCCCCTCCTGCCGCCGGGGCCGAGCCCAGGCTCTCCTTGGGAAAGCAGGAGCTGATGCGTGAGTGGGCAAGGGTGTCTGAGGCTGTCCCTTCTTCAGGAGCCACCAACAGCAGTCTTCTGTCCCCTGGGGATGCCTCATTCTTCCCAGGGTCCTCGGGCAGGAAGGGTAGAAAAAAGTCCTTGTCCTGAGTCAAGGGTTTTCATAGTGGTGTAAAATCTAAGGGCTGGGACAACTAGCCCCATGTTCACGGCGCTCCTGAGAAGGTTTCGAGGATGAGGAAGGCTCAGGCTCTCCTCCTGGTGCAAGAAACCGTGGCCACGACCACCTGTAGCTCTAGCACTCCTCCTGGCACTCCTGGCAGTGTTATCCCCATGGCCATCATACCTCCCCTGGTTCACAGCTCCTCGCTGTGATCAGAGACCAAGGTACAGAACCAAAGGAGGGGAGGTCCCCTGAAAAGCCAGACTGGTGCCAAAGACAGGTGTCCTGTAACGAAGACACCTGGTGGCATGTGCAAGAGCCCACAGGCAGCCATTTCTGAAGGACACTTGTGGTTGCCCCCCAACAAAAGGCTGAAGGGCAGGGTATGGAGAGATGTGTAAGAGCTGTCATTGCAGAAAACCAAGAGGCAGGCACCTTTTGAAAATTCAGGCCCTTTTCAAGCTCAGAAAAAGCAAATTTTTCCTCCAGCAGTAGAAGTGTTTTCCGAAGAACTTCTCTGCATGGAACTGCAAAGGTAAGTGCCATGAGAAAAGCAGCACTTCAGAACACGGGGTAAGCAGGGGGTAAGGGAGCTGTAGCTGTACCTGTAATGTTAACTTCTGTCTCTTCAACGTTGTCTCCGAGAACATTCCAGACTGTAGCACTCTGTCCATATCCACAGTGCAAGAGTATCCCTGGGTGGGACACAATCAAACTCAACAAGCAATCACAGCCATGTCATCCAGCATGTCATTTATCTGCCCTGTGCAGACCTCCAGAACCTGTAATTCCTTCTGTTAGAGAAGCCTCTACATTCTCTTTGTTGATACATGACATTTCAAAAGGCAGAGCCACAGGATGACCTTGCACAACCATCCTGTATCACTGAGACACAAGCCTTTGGGAGGTGAGGATGCAAGCTCAAGGCAGGGTGTATGATATTGGGAGGACACTTTGATCTTGCCCCTTCCTGACTGGCTAATGCTGCAGAGCTACATCCCTCCTGGCATATTACACTTGGCTCTGCTTCTTGATTTAGAAGGCACATAAACAGACTACCAAGATGATGACGATGCTCATCATCTCAAATCAGGGGGAAGACCCACTCTTAGAGTCCTAAGCCTTCTTTTGGTGTAGGTCATCTCCATACCAGCCAGAGCTTCAGGAGTAGCATGGTTTGACTGGGGAAAAAAAAAAAAAAAAGTGCTAAATCATTGGATAGCACAGGCCTGGCTGTGTTAAGACCAAGCCCTATGGCTAGTGGCAAAGTGTCTCCAAAAGGCTGCAATGGGTAGTCAAACCAATGGGGGTTGAAGTCAGAGTTCCCTGAGACAGAAAGCAGCTCAGGGTTCACAGGTGAGCCTGGGTCTGTGGCCCTGGTGTATTGTGTCCTGGGGGGTGTAACTGAAGGAGGCCCAACAGAGGAGGAGAAAAGAGGGAGGAGAAAGACTACAACTTATCTTCTCCTCAGTGTACAAGAAAGTCTGCACATCACAGGATGGTCTTACAGTTTCTGAGGCTGTAGAGCAGGTTTCTTTCCAGTGACCTCCTGCAACACAATGTATTCAAACCAGAAGTCTCTCTCCATGAGAGGCTGTTGCCATCTTTGACTGTGATCTACAGTTTCTTTACTTTGCTCTGATATTGCCTGGATTTATTGTCCAGTCCTCTTGTGATCCAGATAAGCAAGCAGGCAGCAAACAGGTGCTAGTTTTGGCCTTCTGTGGTCCTACATGTATCCTGTGGCTCTACATTTATTTCACTCTTAAGCAAAGAAAAGCACAGACATCCTCCCAAGGAAATGAAAATGGTACCAGGTATTTCCTGAGTCCTCCCTAATATAAGGAAGAGGATTGCACAGCACACCTGAAGAGGAACACTACAAGCACTGGAGCACTGGAGCAGAGCTGAGGGCACAGCTGTCTTGTCCAAATCAGGTGGATCTATGGGACACGTATTAGAGGTGGCTTGTTTCAGTTAGGCATATCCCCAGCTAACCACCTTTTCTTTACCAGATGAAGTACTCTCCTAGTAGTCCCTATGGTGTTATTACAGCAGAGGGAGGAAATGAAGACATGGGAGATATGCCTAGAAAGTGCCACAGGGAACTCACAGTAGTGCCTCCTGGATAGAAGATCCCTTGTTGAGGAGACACCAAAATTATTAGCTTCCTTACTAATGATCCTCTGTCCTCTCTGTCTGTCCATGCTTTGCCAGGGAACACTTCCCACTGGTGACCTGCTCATAACAGGTATCTCAGCGAGTAGTTTCCAGTGTTTGCCAGCTGCTTTCCAAATGTGATTTCTGAGTAAAAGCTCCCCTTCTGGTGGCACAGGAAGCCAGCAGAGCCTGCTCCAGCATGGCACAGCACATCAGTGAACCTGCCCAAGTATATGCTCACCATGCAGAGGAGATATCTGGACATCAAGAAGCACTGGGGTAATGTCTCCCACTTAATTCTGATGTGTGGAGCCATATGGTGTTATTACAGAGGCCCTAATTATGTATGTGTGTGATCTTTTTCAGATAATAATTCAAAGATGTCTGATGAGCAAGTTCTCTAGAACACTTCCATAAATATCCCAAAGATGCTTACTTTGTTCTTTTTAATACCGTTTCCATCTTCATTCAAGATGTTTTGTAGCTGTGAATTATTTCCTGTTATTTCAGGGCAAGAAGCTTGCTCATTTCTCTGAAACCACTCAGAATTTAAGGGAAAACACTACAATGATGTTTTACATCTTGCATCAAAATCTGAAAAGCAAGGAATTTTAAATTTCACAAAGCTGGTGGCACACAATATATGTGCTGGGCACTATGTTGATAAAAGCCTGAAACATGCTCCTAAACTGCTGTCTTATTTCCCCATTAAATACTGAAGGCCTTCTCTATCTGCCTTGTTTCTTCTAAAATGCTTGCAGAACAAAGAGCTAGAGGGATCCTTGAAAAGTGACTTGTTCTCAGAACGCTTTTCAGTCTATATGTTTATCCATTTTTCTTAGTATCTATTGTAACTCAAATATCTCAGGTTTCTTGCTTTCCCTGAAGAAGCTCCGAGTTCCCATCCCCCCCTCCCCCCCCCCAAAAAAAATAATAATCTCCAAAGTGTTCAACAGTAAGCCAGAATGGAGAAAACTTGGCTTGTTTTAACAGTTTGATTATTTTTTTTCCCTTTGAAGTTTAAATTAATTTGTCAATACTAAAAATTCTGATCTTCTTCCCACACCAGAAAACAGCCCAGAAGGAGTGAGGCCACTTTCCCAAGGAAGGACCTGGACGGGATGGATCAATGGGCTGAGGCCAATGGTATGAGGTTCAACAAGACCAAGTGTTGGGTCCTGCACTTGGGCCACAACAACCCCAGCAGCATCACAGGCTTGGGGAGGAGGGGCTGGAGAGCTGCCCAGCAGAGAGGGACCTGGGGGTGCTGGTTGACAGCAGCTGAACATGAGCCAGCAGGGTGCCCAGGTGGCCTGGAAGGGCAATGGATCCTGGCTTGTATCAGGAATAGTGTGGCCAGCAGGAGCAGGGATGTGATTCTCTCCCTGTGCTCAGCACTGACGAGACCTCACCTCGAGTCCTGTGTGCAGTTCTGGGCCCCTCACTGCAAGAAGGACATTGAGGTGCTGGAGCAGGTCCAGAGGAGAGCAACAGGGCTGGTGAAGGGACCAGAGGGAAAGTCTTACAGGGACAGGCTGAGGGAGCTGGGGTTGTTTAGCCTGGAGAAGAGGAGACTCAGGGGAGACCTCATCACTCTCTACAACCACCTGGAGGGAGGTTGTGGTCAGGTGGGGCTGGGCTCTTCTCCCAGGGAAGTACTGACAGGGTGAGAGGGTGAAGCTGCTCCAGGGGAGGTTTAGGTTGGATATCAGGAAGTTCTTCCTCACGGAGAGGGTGATCAGACATTGGAATGGACTTCCCAGGGAAGCGGTGGAGGCAGCATCCCTGGAGGTGTTCAAGGAAAGGCTGGATGCGGCACTTAGTGCCATGGTCTGGCTGATATGTGGTGGTGTTGGTTGTAGGCTGGACTTGAATGATCTTGAAGGTCTTTCCCAGCCTTGGTGACTCTGTGCCAGCTGGGGGGCAGGGAGGGGGCCGGCTCGGCGGAGCCGCTGGACGGCAGAGGGGG